TATTGCCTCTGACAAACAGGCGGGTCCTGCTGGAAAGGCAAGCGCGGCCCCGTGGAGAGAGCACGCCAGGAAGCCACGCGCGCTGCCGCTGCGACGACTCGCTGCAAGGCATCGCTCGCGCATCCGTCCTGGCCTTCCCGAGGCAGAGGGCCAGAACAAGCTGAGTTTTATAAGCACACAAGAGCTCCGCTGCATTTAAGAACTAACTACGGTTTATCTAGGAGTGTCCGTGCATTTCAAGCAAAGGCTTCCTGCAAATATTTTGGGTACTGAGCCTGAAACTACTATGCATACTAATTGTGATATTTCAGCATCCTACCAGCTATTTTTCTACATAGATACCAAGAGGAAACAGTTCTTTAGCCTTCTGTGAAACTTAAAACATTTCAATAAAAGGTTCAAATTAATACGAGCTGTTTGGGGGTTTTCTTAGAGGAGGAGGGAGGCTGAATTGGTTTACTGCTCCTTTGTTTAAAGTCACAGAAAGAGATGGCTCAAGCAAATCCCTTTAAATTGGAATGAAAACAAAACACCTCAAGAATTAAAAGGAATCTCCCCAATAGCTAATGGTTTGTGCCCCACCTGAAAAAACATCCTCCTCATTAAGTGTCCATAGACATTTTAAAGGATTTCTTGTTTCCGGGTTTCACGTTGTCCAGTCCCGTGGTTGCTGCCCACACAATGATGCCCGCTGCTCTCTGGGTCCCCAGCCTGGATCCTAGCACAGAGATTTCGCTAATCGCTTCCTATACAACTGTCACTTCACTTGCAAATACCAAACGGGCAAGCAAAGGATTTACACCGATCCAGCTCCCCTCTCACAAAACAGATGTAAAGAGACAAAATAAAAGCAGACCTTCCTTGGAACTGAAAAAGTATCAAGTAGAAACAGGCAGTTTCCACAAACAAGCTTAGACAAATGGGCCTGGGGATTGGTCCCAGGGGTTAATGAAAGACCTCTCTCCCCCAGGAAGATAAACAAGGGCAGCTTTTTTAAATGTAAGAAACAGAGACAGATGCTGATTTGAATGAACTCAGAAACTGGGACAGACCGGCAGAGAGAACTCAAACGAGGCTTGTAATACCAGCAGAGCCGGCTTCGTTCCTGGGAAGCCTATAACGAAAGCTTCAAGAAAGAGGAACAGCTTGAAAATGATCTTTCTTCTCTCCTTCTGGGACCAAATCAAGGTACAAGTAAATTACCTCTGTGAGTAAATCTTTAAAGCCATGTACGTAAGAGATGTTTCCTCCCACTTTGAAAGTGCTTCATACCCTGTGTTTTCTCTTATTCCATATCAGGCGATGAGGATGGACTTTGCTGATGTAAGTGGTTGCTCAGACAAGCAACACAACCCCAGCTTCTCATAAAACTCCCACTCAAAAAAATAAGCAATTGAGCTTGTTATCTCCGTGGACAACAGGGGGCAAAATAAAGCAATGTTTATAGCATCAGGAACAACAGAGCAACAGCATCTTTAATGCTTTGCACAGATCTTTGCTACTGAGGTTTTTGTTTTACCGTACCCTTCTATTATTTACTTCTGTCCTATCATTTTGGGGGGTTAGTACCTACCAGGAAAGCAAGATTTTCAAAAGAATTTGGCATGTAATATTTGAAAACTTGAACAATCATCTTTTACTGCCTAAAAAGAATTTGGCCCTTATTGGCACTCAGCTGCTGTTCAACAGTGTTGATGCATTGACCCTCACTGAAGCCAAAGACAAAACCCTCGCTAAAGAAGACTCAAACCAGTCAAAGCATAGGGAGGAGTTCATCTATTTACTGCTAAATAACTCTGGTCTAAAGGCTCTGATCAAACTAAGTCATGGGAACAAGTCAACAGTTATCTGAACTATGCACAAAAAAGCTCATAATAGTCTACATCTGATTCAGCACATTCTAATTTAGAGTTAATTAAAACACTCCTGCTTAGGATTAGTGCTACAGTAGCAAATTTGTTTTTCTGTACTTGACCTAAGATGACACATGAACTAGAATAATATTTAGCATCAGTGTTGTTTTGCACACGTTTTGCAGGTCTAAGCTGGCATTACTAGATATAGGCAACAAATGCACATATTTAAGCAGTATTTTGTGGCAGAAGTCATTGCCAAAAAGCTGCAATTGCTGGTGAAAAAATACAGGGCAGAAGAAAGGCAAAACATCAATAGCTGCTCAGTGCATCTGTGCTGAGACTTGCCCTAGGCTTAAATCAGCCTCACTGCAAGCAGGAGGTAGCCTGGTTCGCAAGCACTCGCGCCCTGCATCCACACAGCCTCAGGCCCTCCCTGCTGGACTCCCTTTGGCAGGGGAAGGGGGCCACAGGAAAGGGGAGACTGACCTCTGAATTTCGCCCTTTTTCAAAAGGATCGCTCTTTGGACTTGGGAGGAAACATTCACTGGCAAGGCAGCGTCCTCAGAACAGCGGGGACCAGGTCTGACACGGTCCTTGGGGTTCATTACGCAGTTAGTTACGCACTCCCCTGCATTTCCTAGCCTTAAGAAGTGTATTTCACATTTTACCTCCTAAAAATCTCTATGGGAGGTACGCAAATACAAATGTCTGGCTTGCGATCAGCCTCTAAAGCAGTCTGAGCGCTACCACTGAGGACTTGATTGCCAGTGCATTCGCCAGCAGAGTTGCTGCTTTCACAGAAGCAGATTCTCTATTATTTTGTAAAATACTTTGAAATACCTGACTAGGAAAGGTGCTGTATAAAAGCAAAGGTCACCAAGAAAATTATCACGTGTCTAGTTACTTCCTTTATCCTGAGCGAGGCTTAGGAACGTCTGCAGTAAATGAGATACTAAACAAATGAGGCAAAGGGAGAGGAAAAGCAGCATGTGAGAAGGAAGAAGGGTGCTGGGGAAAGCAGGGAACAAGAACACAGCAGAGCGCTACTGTTCAATATATTTCAGCAGAGCGCAGATCTGCTTCAGGAGACTGCAGGAACAAGTAAATGAACTAATACAGATCAATGTGCAGAGGACGGAAAAGTCAGACAGCCACATCTTGCTGCAAAAGAAGCATATGGGGTTTGTTTTCCTCTTTGTTGCCATTTAAATTCCAGCAGTTAAGGCAATCTAGTTATTCAATTTAGATAAGCTTCAGTAGCTAACAGCAATCTTAACAGCTGCCTGTGCTCCTCCATTCTGTTATTACATCTTTCTTTCAAAGTGATAATGCTATTAGCAAATTGACTTCCTCCCTCATGCAATCTGTCTGGTTTTAGTATGTACAATACTAATTGCTTCCTAATACTTAGGGCCATCAGCAGGCAGCAGAAGTTTGTACCAGTAAATATCTCCAGCTGGGAGTCTGTAGCAAGCAGGGTTTGCGTACAGTTGCTCCGAGATCTTCTCCTGCAGGTGAGGGAGAAACAGCAACAATTGGAGGCAACAATTTAGGCACCATGCTACCAACTCAGAGCAGAAAAAGACATGTTTTTCTACAAATCAGCTGCTTACATTG